TTCATATGACTTTGTTCGTTCCAAGTTAATACCGTCGAGCATCTCCAACTATACAACTCAGAACTAGTTTTACATCCTTAATGGATTCTCCTTTCAACAATGTCCCTGGAAAGATGAGCCCAAGGGGCAAATCTCAATGGAAGGTTAGTAGTGGACATGGTCCTCACTACAAAGACTTCATGAGAGCAAGTGAGTCTCCACTCAAAGACTTCAGAGGGCTACAAGCCTTAAAAGATGCATGGACGTCAAAGATCTCATAAGGCATGAACCACACAAGGTACGCAATTCTTCACTTTATAAAATTTGTGTGCTAACTTTAAACAAAATTTTGTACGATTGAGAAATCGCAGCAACCTCAGAAATAAACAACATAAAATGTTTTAGCATTTTCATTAAAAAAACTCTCAGGGGAAAGATAACCAATAAAATAAAAAAACTACATCGGTGTAGTACGAACAACATGACAAAAACAAATACGCTACAAGAATCTGAGGAAGGATCCTCTTCAGAATACCTCAGATAAATCATTCCTCGGTGAACCATTTATGCCGCTCCATCAAATACCCGATCATGAACCCCTTGAACTAGGTATCTAATGAAAGTTTTGAACTTAAGCAAGTTCTTTTAAAGTCCTCGATTGCTTTACGCTTAATTTCTGCAACATCAACATTCTTTGCGGACATCAAAAGTCAGATCTCTTTTTCTTGGGTTGACACCATCGACTGAAGAGCTTTCACATCATATTACTTTCACTAAGGTCAACTCGTACTCTCTCCAGATTCTGAAGCTGCAACGAGAAAGAAGATCTCATTGCTTGTCTTCTATGCAAGGCGAGGGTGATTTTCTTCTTCGCAGCAACTTTGCGCCACAACTCTTCGCCAGAACTCTGCACCGAAACTTTTTCCCTCAACTCTTTGTCGCAACCCTATGACACAACTCTTCAGCGCAAACTCTACACCGCAATACTGCACCGTAACTCTTCCCCGCAATTCTCTACTGCAACACTTCACCGCATCTCTTTCGGAGTTCAACCTTTTTAAATTCCTTTTTAATTTCCTGTTCCGCTTCCCTATTTGTTTGCCTCTATCCAAATTCCCACTCATGGTGTAAAAAATATTGCATCCGGTCCTCTTCCCATGGTGAGGCCAGATTAGCTCGTTTCCACTCCATTGGCATTATATATATATATATAAAAGAGTGAATTCTTGTATATTTACATTCCTATCACCGTAATTTATATTTACATTTATATGCATACCACTCCAACTATGCATCAAAAATATCATGAAAAAGAAAGGCTCCTGATCAAAATATTTTTGAAGCACAAATATGATCTCGCCCAAAAATATGAGACAATTGATACGTCATGAACAAATTCTACATTATTCGACATGAATCTCAAGGCATTAGCATGAATCTCGAGACAAATTTTGAACAATAAACATTCAAACTTCAATTATAAGTCATCTAGAACATTGATTTCAACAAATTTATAGTCAAACTGACCGATTCGATGAGATTGGCATAATCATGTTAGAACTAGTCAAATCGAGCTCATATCAAGTGATTAAACCACTTTTAGAATATTTCCATACATATTTGGAAGGTCAAACAAATGCATAATCTAGCGAGTTTATAGTCTAACCGAGCGTCTCGATAAAGACAAATCCAACGAACCCAAAAGTGCTTAATTTCGACATCATTAAGGCACTCAAATATCCATCCAACATCACATGATCGATAGAAGCTCTCTGTACTGTTCGATCAAAATGCTTTATATTTCAGCATGGGTCTTTTAGCCTTGAGAAATAACTTTAGGTTTTGAGAATGAGCTGAAGTCTAACATTATCCCTGCCATCATCAATCGTCGTCGACAACCTGTCGACCCTTGCCGACCACTGTTAGCCACCGCCGATTTTCGTCGACCGTCGCCAACCACCGTCGACCGTTGCCCACCACGG